GAAAGCAACTTTGTGACTTCTCCAAAATTTTGACACAGAATTATCATACTAAAACAGACTGATACTGGAGGGCTCCTTTAAACTTAAGGAAAACTTCTTCATGCTGAGAGTAAAGGGTGAAGGGCTGCCCACCTCAGCCTGAGAGTTGCCAAGGAAGCTAAGAATGAAGACTGCCCCCTGCCCCAGCCCCTCTAAGCTCAGGTCAATTAAATATGCATATGTGTATTTCCAGCCTTTTGTCCCATTTTGCTGTCTCTTTTCTTTTACAAGCTTTCCTCACCCCAGAGCCTCTCAAAGATGAAATTTTTGAAACAAAGTTTCTTCTACATTCTTGCAAATGTGGCTTTGAATACAACATATTTTCCTACAAATTTAACTTGGAAAAATTTGTGGAGCACCATGCAGGTAGCCTCGCCTTGTTGTAAAAGAACACAAGTAAAAATATGACCCAGCCAGTTTTTAAGAATATGAGAAACAAGTAGTGTTGGCAAAGATGTGGGGGAAAAGGCACACTCTTACATTGCCAGTGAGACTGCAAACTGGTGCAACCAATCTGAAAAGCAGTATGGATATTCCTCAGAAAACATGAAATGGAACTATCATTTGACCCAGATATCCCACTCACTCCTCGGTTTATACCCAAAGGACTTAAAAACAGAATAATACAAGTGACACAGCCACATCAATATTTATAGCAGCACAATTCATAATAGCTAAATTGTGGAACCAACCTAGATATCCTTCAATAAATGAATGGATAAAGAAACTGTGGTATATATACACAATGGAATATCACTCAGCATTAAAAGATAATAAAATCAAGGCATTTGCAAGTAAATGGATGGAGCTGGAGAATATTAAGCTAAGTGAAATAAGCCAATCCCAAAAAACCAAAGGCTGAATGTTTTCTTGATAAGTAGATGCTGATCCATAATGGGGGTGGAGGGTGGGGGAGCATGGGAGGAATGGAGGAACCTTGGATTGGGAAAAGGGGAGGGAGGGTAAGAAGAGGCACGGGGGTAGAAAAGATGGATATCATTATCCTAGGTAATGTATGATAATACAAATGGTGTGACTCTACTTTGTCTACAACCAGAGAAATGAAAAATTGTGCTCCATTTGTATATTCTGAATCGAAATGCATTCTGCTGTCATGTATAATTAATTAGAACAAGTAGATAAATTAATTTTTAAAAATATCACCCAGCAATTTCAGTCATATATATATATATATATATATATATATATATATATATATATAATTTTATGTATTATATATATGTGTATGTGTATATATATATACACACACACACCCTCAAAATAGGGAATCAAAAGTTCACAGCAGCACTATATACAATTGTCAAAAAGTATAAGTTAACCCAAATATCCATTAATGGATGATGAATTGGTAAACAACCGAACTCTACCTTTATTCAACCATTTAAAGCAATAAAGGATTGATAAACACTATAAGATAAGATAAATTTCAGAGAGATTATGCTAAGTGAAAAAAGTCAAACATAAAGTCCACATATGGTATGAGCTCACTGATTTGTGGGGGAGTGAATAGGGAATAACTGGATCTTCTTTTGGGATGATGAGACTGTTTTGGAACATATTGTGCAATATATGAGTATATGAAATGTCACTAAATTTAACACTTTAAAATTGTAAATTTAATGTTATGTTGAAATATAACATCGCTCTTCAGCAAACATAAACTTTTGAAGTTTTATCTGTCTTAGAGTGTTTATCAATACCTCATTCCTTTATATGGTTGAATAATGTTAACTTCAAATACTGCAAGAAAGAAAATTCATGCACAGATGACTTGGTGTTAATTTCTTTTCAACTGCAAAAAGTCAAGTAATAAAAGGAATTTTACTTCCTTTCCTTTTTTAAAGCAAAGGAAAGAAAACTTGAATAATAACTAAAAAGAAGAAATCAATCTAGGAATATCACTAGGACATGAGAGGCATATCAAGTTAGAAAATCAATCCCAAACTTATATGTACCCCACAAAATGACTTCAAAATACACTAAGTAAAACCTACAGAAATGAATAATAGACAAATCTACAATTACAAATTCAATATTCTTCTGCAGTAAATGACGATTTCTAATCAATACACAGGCCTAAATACTATCCATTTAAATTGTACTATCATTACAAAAATCTTCAACCAGCAACAACAGTAATACACTTTCTTCTCAAGTACAAATGAAATATTCTCCAAGATACATCACATTAGAGTGGAGAGGTCAGGAATCTACAGCCAAAAAACCAAATCCATGCAGTTATCTGTTTTGTAAGTAAGCCCAAAATCTAAGAATGGGTTTTTATCATAAAAGATCAGAAATCAATGAAATTTAAAATAATAAAACAAAGAACCAAAGCTGGGCCTTTAAAAAGATTAAACAAAACTAACAAACCACTTATTGAATTGATAGAAAACAAAAAGAAACTATAAATTCCAAGATAATGAAAAATGAGCTAACACTTCAGATAGAAAAATCATTAAAAAGAGAAAAAACAATGTTAGGAACAATATTATGTTCATATATTCAACAACTTGGATGAAATGGACAAGTATCTTCCTGGATAAAAATCTTCTCAAGTTCATACCAGAAAAAAACTGATGTCATAAACAGTTCTGTATTAAGTAAATAGACAGTTTTTAAAATGTTGCAAGAAAGAAAGTTCATGCACAGATAGATGCCTTCACTGGCAAATTCTACACAAACTCTCCCCTAAAAAAAACAGGAGGAAGAAACATTTCCTATCCCTTTTTATGAGAATAGCATTACTCTGACATTATATGAGGTGTTACAAATAAAAAGTATAAATCAATATTCCTTGTGAACATAATTATAAAAATCCTCTACTACAGGTTGAACATTCCTAATCTGAAATCTAAAATGCTTCAAAATCTAAAATTTTTTTACTGAAGATATGATACCACTACTGGAAAATTCCACAGCTGACCTCATATGATGTGACACAGTCAAATCAAAGGCACACTAAAAATATGGTACTAAATTACCTTCAACCTGTGTGTGTAAAACAAAAATGTTCAGACTTGGGTGCTGTCACAAAGATATCTTATTATGTCCATGAAGATATTCCAAAATAAATTAAAAAATCTGAAATTCAAAATATTCATGGTCCCAAGCATATGGGATAAGAGATTAATACATACAGTTGAAAATCCCTATTCTGAAAATCCTAAATCTGAAAATGGTCTGAAATCCAAAACTCTTTACAGTCTGACAAGATGCTCAAAGTTTCAGATTTTGGAGCATTGTGAATTTGGAATGTCTAGATTAGGTATGCTCAATTGGAAAGTCTATATGAGAATATTCCAAAATCCAAAAAGCTTCAAAATTTGAAATATCTCAGATAAAGGTCACTCAACCTGTATTTGCAAACAAAGTGCCAAATACATAGAATGGATACTACAAATATGAAAAGACCAGATTCATATTGAGAATGCAAATCTAGTTTAATAATCAACATAATTTGTTATATTAACAGACCAAGGAAGCAAACTATATGATCATCTCAACAGATAAAGAAAAGTCATTGCAATATCTATCCAAATAAATGTTCAACCAACTAGGAAGAATAATTTCTCAATCTAGTAAAAGAATGACTAAAAGAAAAACCTTATTTTATCATATTTAATAAGGAAAGCCTAAACACAGCCTTGTCCCATGGGTCCTGGTTACAGCAGCCTCACTCACTGATATTCCGAAGGAGATAGCCCCACTTGTCCAAACATACGCCCTCTGAAGAAATTATCAAGGAAAAATATGATTGGATATTTTCTTCCTAAAATTACCTTGGAATGAGAAAACATATGTAATACGAAACCCAGAAATCATAAAGGGAAATAAAAACCTACTAATTTTGACTATATTTTTTTTAAAAAAGGAGGACTGGGGATGTGGCTCAGCATGCACAAGGCCCTGGGTTCAATCCCTAGCACTGCATTGACAGAAGTATATACAGGGAAAAACAGATATGTTTTATATGGTTTAAAAAATGTATCTGTGTCACAAAAAACAAACAACAAAATGGAAAAGCAATTTTGAGTGACAAACTACAGTCTAATAAAAAATGTACACAAAACATGAGTCAGTGTTTCCAGAAAGAAATTCAAAGTCAGTTAAACTTAGGAAATATGTTCTATCTTACTAATAAGGAAATGAAAATCAAAACAAAAGAACACTTTTTCACTTAGAAAAAAAATGTTAATGATTGCTGATATTCAAGATTAATGCAAGCAAAGAAAAAGACATTCATCATTCACTGTTAGCAGTATCATAAATTAAAAGTCAATTTAGAAAGGAAATTTGGCAAAATTCATCAAAATTTAAAATTCACACACTATTTTACTAAAACATCCCACTTGTAGGAATTCATCCTATGGATAAAAGTATAACCAAATATATATATAAGAAAGTTCAAGGCAGCACTTTCCAAAATTGTAAATACACATAACAATACAAATGAATATCCACCAAAACTGAACATATTACGTAAAAGATGGCATATCTATATAATTCAATATTATATGACCATGAAAAAGGTGCTAACATGAAAATATCTCTTAAGGTATGTAAAATATATAATAATAACGGTAACAATAAGAATAATGATCACATTTATTTAAATTGTATGAATATAAGATTACACAAACGTGTGTTTGTATGTGTTTGCACACTAGGATATGCCATGAACACTTTCTGAAAAACTAGACAAACAGGGATTAATAGTATTACCATTAGGGAGAAGGATTGGAGGCTACCAAAGTGAGGACAAATAGATTTTATAACTTCCTTAACTATTTGTACTTTTTACCATTTCATCAACATTTTAAAATGTCTATTTTCCAAATGAAATGTAAATAGTTTATCTGAAATTCCTATAGTAGTTTCAAATACTATTAGTGAGCTTTCTTTTTCATTCAATCTTTTGTTAATTCTGAAAACATTACCTGAATTGATTTGACAGGGGCAGATACATCAGTTGTAAATATAGGTTTTGGAATGCTTTCCACCAATTCCATAATCCCTTGCAGTTTTTTATCAGAGATTCGTAAAGAAACAAGAGGTAACTCTCCAGAAACCTTGAATCTGTTTTAAAAAGATAACAATGATTATAGAGGATCTTTCATTCTGATTTAAGTACACTAATTAAAAAGAAGAATATATTCCTCAAATTATACAAATATAATGAAATGTGATTTTAAGCACTACAAATCACTAATTTCTGTCTTAGCTTATTAACTGATCTCATTAGATGGGATAACTTATTTCCTAACATTATTTCACTTATTTCCTCTCTACTATTTACTAAGTAAATAAAAATGTACTATTTACTTAGTAAATAAAAATTTATTAAGTAAATAGTAGAGAGGAAATAAATGAAGTAATGTTTTCCTCTCTACTATTTATTTCCTCTCTACTATTTAGGAAGTATAGATGGCAATTTCTATTTATCACATGTTTATTATGTGACAGATATTTAAGGAAGTGTTTTGTATGTATTATCATAAGTAGGCCTCAATTGATGAGGTATATAAACTATTTTTATTCCCTATTGATTGTAAGTTCCCATATGGTTCCTATGAAGAAACTACAGCAAGTTCAAATAACACATCAATGAGATCAGATATCTAAAACCACGACTCAAAACCAGAGTTGAGAATCTTATTAGGCTTTTAATGGCCTAGGCAGTGTACTTTGCTTACAGATACAAGACATAGAATTTAAAAAGAGACAGACCTCAAGGGAAAGTTTTCATGCACAATTTTGATCCCTGTATTTTTCTCTAAAACTTACCTTTGTGAATTATGCATAGTGACTGCTAAAGTTTCTTTCTGAAATATATATCTTGAGTTTCTTCAAAAATGTAAAAGATTTCTTTGACTTCAGTAGCATATATATATATAAAATCAATTCCATTCATCCTAGTAAAACTTAGTTACATATTATGGATCAGTCCAACTGATGCATCTAAAGTCTTTGCTTTCTTAAAATATTCAATTTGTACAATCTCAAGATGCTAGATGTGAGGCTGAGGTTATGACTCAATGATGCAATGCTTGCCTAGCACCTGTGAGGCACTAGGTTCAAGCCTCAGCACCACAAAAAAATAAATTTATAGGACTGGGGCAGCAGCTCAGTGGTAGAGCCCTTGTCTCTCACGTGTGAGGCACTGGGTTCAATGCTAGGTGCCAAAGTTCTACCTACCAAATAACAGGGTTCCTTTTACGTACCTTAAAATTTATCTAGTTCAAACTTCAAAGAAAGGTTGCTGACACTTGTAGAGTGTCAGGATTTTACATAATAATCATATCATTCAATGTTACTCAAGAGCTTACAAATAAAACCCAAATAACTTCTCACATTTCACCTTTTTAAATCATTGGTATTTTGGGACTGTGATTATGTTTGATATTTTAATCAGCTATTTTTAATCCTATTATGTTAATCCATTCCCTATATCAAGGATATATTCTCTCTTAATCATATACTGACAGAGCAAGTCCAAAGCAAGATAAGTTTCCCTTTTCTTCCTTCAATCTCCTCCTTTTTTTTCTGGTACCCTATAATATCCAGGATTTACCAAGAAAAAAAGAAAAGTAAATTATTCTGGAAAAAAATCAATTTAAATTCTTACGCTGACAAAAGGAAATTATATACATATTTTCTCTTTATCACAGACTGAAAATTTTTACAAATAAATAGACAGGGGGACATCTGGGAAGTAATGAAAGAATTTAAGCCTTACCTCTAAAATCAAATCATACCTAAAGCTGAAATATGAAAAGCAAGAGAACATATGGAATGGCTGTCTTTCCTTCTCTCACTTAACCAAAATTCCAGGTATTCCTGTACCTCAAGTTAAAACACACTTTGATTTATATAAGAGAAGGAAGCCTAGAAGAACAAGATTTAGGACTCTGGACAATGTCTACTAACAAAAAGAGGCACTGTAAGTTAAAAGTCAAAAAAAAAAAAAGTTTGAGAATGGTCAGAGAATGCTTCTTGGAGTAGATGGTATCTCGAATCCCAAAAGAGGACTAAAAGTAAGCAAAAAAAAAGAAAGAAGTAGGAAAAAATGGTGAGAGGAGGGGATGAGTCTCTTAGGTCTCCCCTTTTAAGTAAAAACAAGGTCCGCACCACATACCATATGGAAAAGATCAGGATAACCCGAATCCCCTGTATTCTTCCTATACTTAATAAAGCACAAACATTTGAGCATTCTTTTGCTAACTTACTAGTAACAATTATTCTGAAACTGTTTAGTAGGTTGTTAGATGAGTCTTTGATAAAATTTTAAAATAGTTCTGGCCAAGGAGGAATACATGCAAAAAAAGAAAAATGATGCTGATATGAAGAAGAGATGAAATAGCCTATTATAATATAAAACTATTTAAGAAAAAAACTAGCTAAATGATCTGGTCTAGTTCAACAGACTTTTCTACTTTGAGTCTTGGGCTCAAGCTTCAGTTAACAATAAATTATAAAGATCACAGTAAAGATGAATACATGAACAAACATAAATATTATTATAATTTTAGTTTATAATTCGAATTTTATAATATTCTATAGGATTTAAAAGACAATTGCATAAAAATAACTATAAATCTATGCTAATGGGTACAGAGTACATAACATTTTAAATTGTGCCATCAATAACAAACTGAAGGGGATGGAAGTGGAAACTTTTTTTTTTCATACAACTGAAATTAAATTGGTATAAATTTTAGACAGATTGTAATAACTTTAGGATATTATATGCCATCTCCATGGTAACCTCAAAGAAAGTATCTATAAAACATACAAAAATTAGAAATGAGGTGGGATTAAAACATTTCACAACAAATATCAACTAAACATAAAGGCAATAATACAGGAAATGAGAAAGAAAACAAGCTATAAGATATAACAAAGGGCTTACCAACAAAAGTAAATGATCCCCTATCAGTATTTACTTTACATATAAATTTTCTCAACTTCCCAAAAGATATAAAGTTGACAGAATGAATAAAACAATAAGAGCCATCTGTATGCTATGTATAAGAGACTCTAGGTCCAGAAAAAACAGGTCAAAAGTGAAAGAATGCAAAAGACATTCCATACAAATAATCATCCAATGAAAAAAAGATTAGTTGTAATAAATCAAAACAGATTACAAGTCAAACAAAGGACAAACAGGGACATTTATATAATGAAATTTGGGAGTCATGTCAACAAAAAGATATAACAATTATAAAATATATATACCAGTCATCAGAGCTCAAAAATATATAATCAAACATTGATAGAATTAACAGGGAGAAATAGACAGCTCTCTAATAATATTAGGAGACTTCAAAATCCCATTTTCAATAATGGACAGAACAATCAGACAATAAGCCAGATCAATAAAAAAGTAGAGGACTACAACTCTATTGGCCATACACTTCATGAATGAAATTTGAACCCTTTATACTAACTTAAATAATCCAGATAAAAAAGGTAAAATATTTGATGACTTCACTTATAGCCAAATTCATAAGACAAAATAGAATGTCAGTTGTCAGGTACTGAGGTCAGGAAAGAGCAGAATGGGGCATTATTATTTAATGGGTATTTACTTTCAGTCTGGAAAATGATAAAGTTCTAGAGATAGATGGTAGGTAATGGTGGTACAATCATATGAAGGAACTTAAGGCTTACCAACAAAAGTAAGCTATCCACTTAAAAATAGTTTAACCATTTATTTTATCACACACACACAAAAGAATCAATAAAAATGGTATTTCCTTAACTAAAGAAACACTGAGAAATTCCACAGTGCATAAAACAGTTCATACATACTTGGGCATCTTTATATCCATGAAAACCATGGCCTTAGAGAGTTCCACATTGAAGTGCATGGGCACCAAAATATGCTGTGTAGATACATTGAGTTTCCGTGCTTCTTTCCAATTATCACCTAATTACAGAATACAGTTCATATTTAATCCTCAAATAATTTGAATAACATAGTAAACCTAAAATTACCATAGGTAATATATAAACTTTAATTCTCCCCATGGTTTACAATTATCCCATTTTATAAAGCTGAGGCACAGAACTTATAAATTTTCTAAAGTCAACTGACTAGTAATAAATCTGAAATTCATATCCAATTCTACAAACATGACCCTCTAGCTATGCTCACTACAATGTTACAAGCTTTAATTTTCAATAAGGGAATAATTAAATTCCTAAAAAATCACAAATACCTCCATACATTAACATTACAAAAGCAAATCCAATATCTTATATTCACACGCTGCATGAGAAAATATCCCATACCATTCTGAGGTACACACAATCAACAGGCAAATTCTTTTCCCTTTTATCACTTTTTTGCTTTCTTTTTTTTCTTCACAAGACTCTCTTTTAGGTTCTACTAGAAAAAAAATACTTATTCTTTTTAAAAAGCAGAAGTTTAAAGCAAATCTACTATATATTCATTGACAATCACCATAAAGCCAGATATTGTACCCCCAGAATTACATGGGTGTAAGGCCATAATGGAAAAGACAGTAAATTTATTTAATAGTAACTAATAACTGTTACCATTTACTCAAGATTTATAACTAGCATTGTTGTAGGTAACATATAAACTTTAATTCTCCTCACAGTTTAAAATTATCCCATTTTATAAAACTCAGGCTCAGAGCTTACAAAATTTCCTAAAGTCAAGGGGCTAATAATAAATCTGAAATTCATACCCAGGTCTACAAACATGACCCTCAAGCTATGCTCACTGCAGTGTTACAGCCTTAATTTTCAGTAAGGGAACAATTAAATAACTTACAGAATAGCCTTAGAACACAACACAGCCAATAAAAATCATAAATTCCAGTGACCAAAAATTATTGGTAAAGTAAAAGAATTATTTGGATTTTAAAAACTATATAAAGCTGCCTTAAAAATCACAAATACCTACACACATTAACATTACACAGCATATCCAATACATTCGTGGACACATATGTTGTAAAAAACACTAAAAGAGGGGCTAGAGTTTTGGCTCAGTGGTAGAGTGCTCGCCTAGCATGCACAAGGTACCTGGTTCAATCCTCAGCACCACATAAATGTAAACTAAATATATTGTATCCACCTAAAGCTTAAGAATAAATATTTAAAAAGAAAACACTAAAAGTACCAACAGAGCTCATGTCTAAGCAATAAGACAAAGGATGGTTCTTTTTGTTTTCTGAATCATCCAGATTTTCTAAAGTAGACATTTATAATCAGAAAGAAATAACTTTAAAATTTTATTTAGGGCTAGGGGTATAGTTTGAAGGTGGAATATTTGTCTAGCATTCCTAAGATTCAACATTCAATTCCCAGCCCTACACACACACACAAAAATAAGATGAATGTGATCTCAATGCATTTTCACACAAACTACCTCATTTGCACCTAATTACTCTTTAAGTCAGATGAACTTCTTATCTTGAAAAACCAGCCAAGGAAATGTTACACTCATGGAGATAAGTAGTAAAATGGGCTTTATTATAATTTTTAAAATTCTACCACCAGTATTGAGATAGATAAAAATGTGATATTTAGAAGCATATATTTCAGAATTTTTCAAGGGATTCTATGACAATTAATAACTTAATTGTAAAGTTAACACCATATCCAAAAAAGTGTTCAAAAAAAGGGATTCAATTATTTGAGAACAATTAATCAAAAAGAATTTCAATAATCTTCACAGTAATAATGGATTTTTAAAATTTTAACCATTTTAGTATCTTAAATATTAAGTATGGCTCACAGACTTTAAAAACCTGTGACCAAAATGTCCATTCAAACATACCAAATGCCATAATTTATTCTCTGAAAAAGCATTTATAGACTTTTGACTTTGTTGTCAAATAAACTTCTAGTTGTCTTCATCTAAAAAATGAACTTGACCACTGATGCATGACTGTATACCACAATGATTGGGATACAGATGCCCAGGAGAGTGAACCTCCTCAGGCTTTGTTTGGCTATCTATAGTCTAGGCTATCAGAGACTCTAGATTAGTTGCCTCTAGCTTTGAGAAACCTCTTTGCCTCTTCTGGTTATCCAACTGTGAACACAAATATCATCAACAGGGTTAAGAGTGAGTCTCAGTGGTAGAGTTCTAGACTACCATTTGCAAAACTCTGGGCTCAATCCCCAATACCGCAAGAAAAATAAATTTAAAATTTAAAAAGTAAATATGTGTACATAAAAAATATGTACACATATCATTAGCAATATGTGCCAATCTTTGGTCCAAGGTTAGAAATTCTGATATGGATCAGGATTTCTCAATCTTGGCACTAATGACATTTGTTGCTGGAGGCTGCCCTGAACACCTTTAGACAATATATACTATTACTTCTAATTCAAAAATTATGAAGAATGTCTTTAGACAAAGTATCTAAAAACCTAATTAAATTACTTTCAGCAAAATCAATCAATAATACATTTTATACTTACCTACTCTACTATAAAGTAGTTGTATGCTTGTAAGGTTAATATCAAAGGAATCATAAGCTCTTTGCATGATTTCTTCAAGGTTGGGCCCACCTTGTTTCACATCTGGTAATTCCGAACGAATTTTACTTGCCACCTTGAAGTTAATTTTAAAAGTTTAGAGTATGCAAAATATTTCAAAATATAAGTATAAAGTTTTTATCTTTCAGACCTATAATGTAAAAATTTAATAGGAAAAGAAACTCACATGCAGACACATATTGTAATGCTATTAGAAAAGTCATTATTCGTAAGATATATAATGAGAAGGACAGGACATAAGGTAAATTTTTACATGTTAAGTTATATTTCCCATTACTTATATTAAAAGAGGAAAACCAAGACAGTACTAGAAATAATACATCTACAAATACTTAAAATCTGATAAGACTCCTCACTGAGAGCCAGATCAACCCAGAGATAAATTTAGCTTATAAAACGTTTCCATTGTACAAAGACAGATATTTAGATAGTTTTATAGCAATTAGAGTCTAGGATTTAATATTAGGATGGTGAAATTTAAGACCCAACTTTGCCATTTATGTGACTCCAAAGATGTTATACTGTATTCTCCCTTTTCTTGACAAGGGATTCTTTTCACTTAACATTCCAGGAATCACTCAAAGATCTTATTCTTTCACTCACTGATGAATAAATAAATAGATATAGATAGATATCTGTGTGTGTACATATTTAAACATAAACACACACATATAAACAGTTTTTCTTCTATTTTGTATATCTCATGTGAAATAAACAGTCAAAAATTATTAACTTTGAAATGTAATGAATTTTGGGTAACAGGTTAAGTGAATTACCAAATGTCACAAAACTATATACTTAACTCCTGACCTTATGCTCTTCCCACTGTACCATATTGCCCTTGAAACAATTCAATAACCAAATTCAAATGTGAATAATTAGCTATATAGGCTTATTATAAATATAAAGCCAGAAAAATAAATAAATAAATATAAAGCCAGTGAATGTCTACATATGTTCCCAGTGCAGAGTATAATCAATCAATAAAAGAAACCGCCAATATTAAGGAAAGGCACATACTTGTTAGGTAGCCAAAAGAAATCAATTCTAACATTTTTCATCTCTCTTAGACCTTTAAATTGTTACTGGTATTTCTCTATCCTTAATGATTTAGAGCAGGGCTGTTTAATAGAACTTTTATGTTGTTCAACACAACAGCCACTGGCCACTTCTGACTTCAAAACTCTTAAATATGACCAATATGTCACTAAGGAACTGAATTTTTGTTTAATTTTAACTTAATCAAATGTATCTAATAGGTAGCACAGCACAGATCTCAAAAGTCAAAAATAGGGGCTGGGGATGTGGCTCAAGCGGTAGCACGCTCGCCTAGCATGCGTGCGGCCGGGTTCGATCCTCAGCACCACATACAAACAAAGATGTTGTGTCCGCCGATAACTAAAAAATAAATATTAAAATTCTCTGTCTCTCTGTCTCTCTCTCTCTAAAAAAAAAAAGTCAAAAATAATTGTTCTTTACTTACTATTTGAGAAGAAAAAAGTTCATAATTGGAAGAAAAAGAAAATAACTTTGGTAAATAGATAACCATCTCTCAATTTTAAATCATTTGATAAAATTAAAATGCCAATATTTATATATAATTAAAATATCAGTATTATACACAAAAATTTCAAAAGAATAAAGATATATTTGATTATCTCCAGAATTCCCTCTATTTTACTTTAATTAATCAAGTAAAGATTGAACAGAAAAGGAAATAAACATTTCAAGTACAACTCAAATTCTACAAATATAATTTTTCAGTTTACTCCTGTCCCTAAGAGTTCAATTGGTTATTTTTCTTTTAGAAGGAGGGCGGAAACACCTAATTAAATGACACTGCACTTCCTTTACCAGAAAGGAAGATTTCTCGAATACTAGTATCTACCACAAATCTAAAAATCAGTAAGCCAATCAAACGGCCTTAAAAACAAGATTCATAATACCCTAAATGCCATATCATGAATTAAATATTATTATTATGTACCTTTAGATGACCAAGATCCAAAAGTAGTAGATTAGATGTAGGAGTAAAAATTCCATCTTGTGGTACAATAATGTATGAAGCCTTCAAGTTAATTCTGAGGTCAAGAACTTTCTGTGTTTCAATAATATACAAAAGACCTGTAGAAAATTTAAATCTTTGAAATGAATACTTCTCAGAAATTACTCAAGAAATACGGAATCACTAAACATACAAATTGATAGCATAATCATAAAATAATATGAAAGTAGTATTGATTTCAAAATAATCTTGAGCAAAATATTTCCAAAATAAATGCAAATTATTTGTTGGTTAATGTGTACACTAATTAAATCTGAGTATAAAATTAGAGCAATTTCAAAAAAAAAAAAAAAAACAATGGTTTTTAGCCCACACATTCAATTTGGCTAAAACTGGGGAGAAAGATACTGACCTAAAAAAAAATTTAAGTGATATGAAACATTTTTTCATGGTTACTATTAGAATCTGTATGCAGTCATTCCAACTCATAAATTTAATACAGTTAAACAATGGTAACTTGATCTTGATGATTTTACTCTGAAAGGATGAAAACTGCTGGATCATTAAATCATCTTTAATAAAATCATATGTAAACCAGAAAAGGCAACAAACCAGGGTTCCACATTCCTTAGATATTGTTCAAAAAATTTTAATTCAATCACTTGCATGTGATTAGTAAGCCAAATTAATCTACTTTAGTGCTGGAGTCCAGCATCAGCTTTTTTTTTTTTTAATTTAACCTTTATTTATTTGTTGTTGACTTGTTTTTATGTGATGCTGAGGATCGAACCCAGAGCCTCACCCATCCTAGGCAGGTGCACTACCACTGGGCCAGAATCCCAGCCCCAGCATCAACTTTTAAATCAAATTATTAATGACTCCATCAGATAGGAACCCCTCCTTTATATCAATAAATTCTTTAAAAAGCCATCAAATCTGTTTTAGTGAAAAAAAAAAGATGTTTTGATTTATAAAATTTCGAGAGATCTGCTACCTAAATAGAAAGGCACCTTACTTCACAATGACAAGAAGGAAGGCAGGGAAGAAAACTATCACAAAAATGATTGTGAGGACTAGGTATTTTCAATGTGAATTATAAATAAAAAGAAACTAGGGCTGGGGATGTGGCTCAAGCAGTAGCGTGCTCGCCTGCCATGCGTGCGGCCTGGGTTCGATCCTCAGCACCACATACAAATAAAGATGTTGTGTCTGCCGAAAATTAAAAAATAAATATTAAAAAAAAAAAAAGAAACTAAACTATTATAATAAGAAAATAAACCCTCATACTGCAGTCAATAATATCTATAGTTTAACTGAACTTCTTTTTTTTTTTTTTTTTTTTTTCAGAATAGGACCATGGTTAGACCAAGGTCATAAGAGTATTAAATGAGAAGGGCAGGTATTAATTTAAAAACCTTGCAAGAAAAGCTCTATGATTTAAAAGAAGAGATTCAGAAAATTCAGTATTTGAACAGTTCATGATATTCCTATTTGGAACTACAATGACTCCTATAATAGTCCTTTTTTCTTCAAAGGACAAATTCCCAAAAGAACGTATTCCATGTTTTGTGACACTATTACGAAGGATTATTAGTAAAGTGACATAAATGTAGGCAGATCAGTATATTTTAATATAAACCTTAAAATTAAAATATTCATTGAAGAATACATGTTCAAATTGAATAAGTCAATAACTTTAAATGTACTTATAATAAGATAAAATTATAAGTAGATATGTAAGATATAATATACTTATAAAGAAATGTAAAGTTTAAAAACATATATGAAGTGTCAAGTGCCAGCATATGATTAATTTGATAAACAAGCTAAAGGAGAAAGTGAATTAAATAAAAAATAATTTAAATATATACATTTATATAATAATAGAAAATAGCCTAAGATCATCGTCTGGACCAGTTCTTATTAGAAATATGATAAATTAATAACAAAACTATCATTTTCAAGGAATTCCAAAGGCCTTGCCTAGGCTGAACCAAGCAATACGCTGGGGGTAAAGGGACTATTGACATCTCCAATAACCTAAACAAAGCAGATTGAAACGAAATCTCTTAAAATGAGGATGAAAAGTAAAGTCAAAGATAGAAATGAATACAGACTGACAGATCATCAAATTCTGACAATCATCCCATAAGCTTAGAACTTAAAACACAGAACTGACTAAAACACAATTGCTCATACCATTCCCGCCGCCATGATCTGGATTCAAACACAGATTGTACAATTTACTCAAGTTTATTTGCTGAGTAAGTCATAAGAAGTACCCAAAAGGGACAGTCTGACCCTCAAAATCCTCCAGATTCTACCCGTTAAAGCATATTTCTCTATCTTCATCTCTAGGCTAATGGTTCCTCAACTCAAATTATCTATCTGTGAATTCCTCCTGCCTCTATAAATCTATGCCCTATACTCCCTGGAAGTCCTATGCCTCACTTTCAATGAATTGTTTCTTTCTTTTCCCCCTAAACATTTTTTTATTTGTTCTTTTTTAGTTATACATAACAGTAGAATTAATTTTGACATATCATATATACATGGAATATAACTTCCCATTTTTGTGGTTGTACATGATGTGGAGTTCCACTGGTCATATATTCATATAGGAAACACAGGAAATTTTTGTCCAGTTCATCAGTTGTATTTCCCATTCCCATACCCTCTTCCTTCCCCCCACACCACCCTGGCCAATCTGGTGTCAGTGAATCCTTTCTTAATGTTACGACACAATGATCTATTTCCCTACGTTACTTTCAATGGAAAGGAAGGAGAAAAAATTTATTTTAAATGTTAAACCTACTTATGTCTCACCCCTATTTCTCATATTTATAATAAAATCCTCTGCTTAATTCTCCATCATTGTTTTGCATAATTGAGATTGTGCCTCTTTAACATCATTCCACTCTCCGCCTCACATTCACTACATTAGAACCAGCTTTCTGCACTTCCAAATTCTTTTCTAAGTTACTATCCAAATTTGATCACTGCCTCTTATCCTCTAAGAGAATTGAATCTTGTATCAATTTTTCAAACGGATCTCTGGTACAATTACCAAAACTAAATTAGGACATCCATCATTCTCATTTCCTTCATAACATCTGGTCCTATTATCAATTTATTTCCTCAACTCCAAATTCACCCTTTTGCCTGCTCTATGAAACTGGAGCTGAGCCCCTTCAATACTTTTCTTGTACCAACAAGCACTGAAGATAAGATAGAATAAAGGAAAGACTGTAAAAAGAAAGGATCTTACTACCTGATTTTAGTGCAACCCCTCAGCAAGATGCTGCAACAATGCAGCTTTCTCCAACACTAAGCACAGGTAGCCCATAAGGGACAACAGTACCCAATAGCCAGCATCTTCCTTTAGAATCATTCTCCTCAGGTGTTTTCAGGGCAGAATGTATGTAAGGGGATGCCTGAACACCTTTCCCTATCACCTAAGGAAGGATTTCTAGAACATTTCAGAAGCAGGTTTTCAGCAAGTTTGTTAGCATGGCACCATAATGGCTTCTCCAATATTCTATGAGTCATAGCGTGCCTTCTTCCAGTAAGGTCTAAATTTCAACCCTTGGAGAACAGAGGGATAACTTCCTGGGGAAAATTAGTTCAATCCTATAAACCCTATAACTACCCTTCTTATATTCTTCAAAGTCAGTCTTTGGAGGAGGGTCACTGGAGAAGGTAATGCCCTCCATGCTTACAAGAGAAGTCACATATGGACCCATATGGTCCATATGTGACTGACCCATCCTGGCAGATGGCACCACTGGTAGAGGAAAGCCAAGAGGCTTAACACAAATCCCCAAGGAATCTCAGCTGACTCTTAAGAGTAGATAGGAACAAGGTGGTTTTGACCAACTTGGTCTTAAACACCTAGAAAAACAGTATAGCCTAAGCACAGTCCTTCAGGGACATTTAAAAGGAAAAAAGATGTGTTGTTGTTGTTGTTTTAAATGTAATTTAAAATGTACACTTGTGTCAACTCTACCAAAAGTAAGTAAAGTTGGAGACTATAAAGGAAAGGTTCCTGTGTAGGAGTGCCTAATAATAATGATCATAAATAGAGTTTCGAGTTTATCTTGAGTTAATTTGAGCCTGATCTCCTAAACCTACAAATCTCCTAACCTCCTACATTAATAAACTCAATGTATTTTTCACTGATTTGATTATAAGTTACTGTCTTCACAGTTTTAAGAGACTGGCTAAAATAGTAATTGCTTTTGTGCTGATTGTTCACTATAATGAACTATCATTTTAAAAACCAAATCTGTAACTTTAACCCTTCCCATAAAAGGATGGAACTTTTATTTTCTGAGGCCAATATATCAAACTATGGTAAGGAAATGACAGGCCTATTGTCAAAAACAGAGGTCCAAAGATCCTAACTATCAACTTTCTGAGTATAAAAAATGATTATTATTACACATGCCTTTCAACAGAAAAGTAATAAATTGCTGGGCCTGGTGGTACATGTCTGTAGTTCCAGCAGCTCGGGAGGCTTAGACAGGAGGATCCATAGGTTCAAAGCCAGCCTAAGCAACAGTGAGTTGCTAAGCAACCCTATCTTTAAATAAAATACAAAATAGGGCTAGGGATGTGGCTCAATAGTTGAGTGCCAGCCAGCGAGCTCAATCTCTAATTACCACCACCACCACCACCACCACCACCCCGGGAAAAAGTAACAAATTAATTTCTATTACACTGTATCCATTCTAGAAATAAATTTAAACTTTACCAAAATCATGTTAACATAAATAAAATTATGAAGTATGAAACAGTATTTAATTTATTAAATTTAATTAATTTACCTGTTGCTGTCTTTTCACGAAATTCTTCAAGTTTTGTTAAAGTTGCTGAAGTGAGCTGTGCTAGATGTACCTCTTTTGGAGGCCTGAAGAATTCTATTATACTATTCACTGTCCTCTGTTAAAAAAAAAAAAAAAAAAAAGCATCATTAATGTGAAGCACAATCTCAAGGCAATCTAAATTATATTAAAAATTGGTAACATAAAAAATACTAACTGCATCATATATCATTTCCAATGGTTCAGCTTCTATGATACACCTCTGAGAAACAGTTTCATCTAATGGATTTATCTCAAATATAATCTGGAAGAGTGATGTACCATCCAATGAAGACAGGAGGCGGGGTTTTTTTGAATTATCTGGTAAGCCAGTAATATGAAATGAGTCTATTCTGGTTTCAAATCTGTATGACAAAGGATAGGACAAAAATTAGGAATCAATACAATTCCAAAGAATTTTTCAAATTAAATAAAAATAAGTAACAACAACTTCACTTTCTATTTCCTGCAACTCTAGTCCATTTACATAAACGAAAATATACAATGATTCCTCTAAATTCATATACCATATTTCACAAAGACTCATTCACATGTTAATTCCTATGCTAAAAAGCTAATGCTATGCTAATATTTGGTGTACTTACTGATAAAATCTAAAATTAACACAGCAATAATGTCTTACAACGCATATCAATGTAAAACTGAAAAGTCATACCTAACACAATTTTATGAGCACTTTCTGTTCTAAGATTTAACATAAATAATTAAAAACCAAGCAGAAGGCAGAATTTCTAAAATAGCTATGTGAGGAACTCAGCAAAATATCTCCCAACGTATTAACCATGAAACAACTGATGAAAATTAGGTTCTCTGGAAACCTAAGGGCACACTGCAAACAAACAAACAAAACATATATTTAGGAAAAACTGTGAAAATTGGGTAAGTACAGGAAGAGTCTGTGACATGAAAACAACAATCACCTCCCACTTCCAGCCCCATAGTGCATTACAGAAGGTAATATATAAATGGATGCTGCTAAATAGGGGGCTCTTCTTCAGCTCCAAATTTAAGGTACAACTTCACCTGAGGAGGAACAGGCAGCGTATCATCCTTCCCCCAGCTATACATTACAAAAGCTCTATTCCAAACAGGCACTGTCAGGAGGGTTGAGTTTCCCTTTCTTCCCATTCATGCGCAAAGATTTTTTTGACCCAGAAGCCGCACTTTATGAATACTGAGGCCCAAATTGCCCCTCCACCATTTTGCTCCTAAAGTATAAGTTCCATTCTGAAAAATGTAAACAGAACCCCCCAATGAAATTGATACAGCAAGCTGTCACTCTGGAAGAATTATGGGCCTGCCTACAAACTCCACATATAAAGCTGAGGTTTTTGTCAAAGGTAGAGGCAGGCTGAAAGGACTGGTAGCTCCGGCTGCTAGGACTGACATTATTTATAACAGAGCAAAGACAAATTCATGCTTAAACATGTAGTTTAAAACAATAGCAATCTTCATCAACTAGTAACAACAAGTAAAATGGCAAACCAACCAATAGATTATTTAACAAAGAGAACCAGGAAAAGAGAGCTATATAGGATCCTTCTGGGATCAAACTCATATTACAAGTAGAGAAGTCTGGATGATCCAAGATGGAAGAATAGAGGAGATCCTGTTTCTGGCTGCTCTGTGGCATGAAACCAAGAAAGCAGTCAGGCAGCTTCTCTGCAAGGTCTCACCTAGACGGAATACAACATCTCAGAGAGTGTGAGAGGACCCCCTATACAGCGGATTTTCGCAGAAATCACCAGCGCTGTGACCACCTGTGAAGAAATAAGAGCCTTGGCATTCAAGTAGGTCTCTGGATTCCAGACCCAAAGCTCACATCTCTAGCTCACGCAGGGTTCCAGCTTAGCAGAATCACCTATCAGCACCTCTGCAGAACTCCAGAATGAGTCTGCTCCCACGTAGGTCACTCGGATGCTACCTATCCACAGCACAAGGACATTGCCAGGTCCCCCCACCTCACCAGACACCCCTGCACTGGAAGCACTCGGACTTCCATCTTGGAAAACCTTTCTCACCATTTTTGGTGGGCATGGCTATCAGATCAGATCTCCATTTGAGCAGGTACCTGGTTTCCAATTCCCCGACCCCCAGCAGCGATAATTCGGCACAGGGACCACCCAACACAAAAACAGCTCTCAGGTGGACAGGAGTGTAGTGTGACCAGGGTGCTGCCCACCTGGTGTGAGCCTGGGGGTGAGAGGTCTCGAAGTTGGGATATGATAAGTAAGAGAGGGGAGGGGACTAAAGTCTGGGGCATAACAGAGAGATCAGGATCTGGGAAATCTCCAGGCAAAAGAGGGAGATGATACTGGGGGTTTAGTCAGACAAGTGGTCACAAAAAGAGACCCAATGAAGTGCAATTCCCCTGGGACTGATGGGTGGCACTTCCCACTTCCAGACCCTCCACACCAGGTCCAGTCTTCTCACCTTGGTTACCTACACCATCTTGAGGGCAGAGACACCAGCTTAAAACAGACAACTCCACCTACTGGATAAGAAGAGAAGGAGGAAAGAAACAGATCTCTAATTCTTCTTCTTCTTTCTCTTCTACCCTTCTATCCTCTGACCCTCACATCACAAACATATGTGAAACCAAGAACTTTGCATGAAATAGGACTTTGAGGACTGAGTCACCTGAATAATGTAATATAGAGGAATTATATAAGCCTTTTTTTTTCTTTTTTCTTTTTCTTCTTCTTTCTTTCCCTTTTTTTCTCTTTCTTCTTCTTTCATCCTCCAAATTTCACTATTTTTACATCCTGTATTTTTCTAAATACATATTTGTGTTTGTTTTATGTACTCTACTGTCTTCCCATGTACTTGTCTACCTTAAATTACTTCCTGTCTACTCCCCTACTACTAACCCTCTTCATTAGATTTCTCCTTCACATTTCCTAAGATATATTAAATCTATACACTCATATCTTTCCCCCTCAGCATATCGTCCTATGCCTGACTCCCAGTTCATTGTCCATCACCAGAAACTGTAAATCTTTTTATGAAACTACTGATTATATTTTAAATAATAATTTAATCCAACATTTCTGGACACTGAGACTAAACTATAAATGTCTTAATAATAACAGTTTGTTCATAGGTGATGCATTGTTGACATTGGGATCTGTTAACATTATCCCTCCCCACAAAAGAAGGATCTTGGAACCCTACCCTATCTATAGGGTAAAAACAATAACACACAAGATCCATAGAGCTGCAAAGGAAGACACATGAGCAACATGAAAAGACAAGAAAAGAAAGTACCACAAACAAATCAAGACAACACATCATTAGAAGCATTGGCAGCTGCAGCAGAAAAAAATGACAGAGAAAGATTTCAGGATATACATGGTTAAAATGTTCTGGGATCTCAAAGAATAAGAGAACAAATACAGGCAGTGAAAGATCACTTCTACAATGAGCTACATAAACAAATCCAAGAAGCAAAAAATCACCTCAACAGGGAGATAGAGGTTCAAAAAACAAAAACAAAAACAGAAAGCCTTGAAATGAAAGAAATCATAAACCACATTAAAAACTCAAATGAAAGCATCACCAACAGAGTAGACCACTTAGAAGATAGGACATCAGACAATGAAGATAAAATATATCATCTTGAAAAGAACATAGACCACACAGCAAAAATGATAAGAAGCCACGAGCAAAACATTCAAGAAATATGGGATACCACAAAAAGAACAAATTTAAGAGAAGTCTGTGTGCACATGCTAGGCTGCATTCACTTAGGAAAATTAGAGCAAGACTACAGTTAAGACTTCTATCAAATAATTGTATTTATGTGGGTTTGCCTCTGTGTCTTCTATTTTGTACCATTGGTTTACGTGTCTGTTTTGGTGCCAATACCATGCTGTTTTTGCTACTATGGCTCTGTAGTACAGTTTAAGATCTGGTATTGGGATGCCTCCTGCTCTACTCTTCTTGTTAAGGATTGCTTTGGTTATTCTGGGCCTCTTATTTTTCCAAATGAATTTTAAGATTGGTTTTTTCTAATTCTATGAAGAATGTCACTGGGATTATAATTCAAATTGCATTAAATGTATATAAAGCTTTTGGTAGCATGGCCATTTTGACAATATTAATTCGCATAGCCAGGAGCATGAGAGGCTATCCATCTTCTAAGGTTTTCTTCAATTATTTTCTTTAGTGTTCTATAGTTTTCTTTGTAGAGGTCTTTCACCTGTTTTGTCAGA